AATAAAGATACACCACTGTAGAACACCAGCTATTGCTATGGAGACTCATCTACATCAAGTGTCTTGCTGTGAGGCCATAACCATATTTTGATCACTTGCAGTAGAATTTCTGGTACTGTGGATCCTATTTCTTTCACTATGAATTTCAAAAGAATTTCATATGAAGGAACTAAGTTTTACTCCTAGGAGTTAATCCTGGAGCACCAGCAGAGTACTCGGAGCCTTACTGCAAGCGGATTGCAGACCCTATCACAAGAAGGATGCTCTGCAGATCAGGCCTAGGATGGTGCATTCTGACATTGCAGCATTTCCACCTACTCACTGGTTGCTTTGCTACTTGAGGTGGCTCAAGTCGATTAAAAGTGCAGTGCAGTGTGTGAGGTACCAGGGGCTGGCAGTGAACATCCAGATCACTGAACACCATCTTTGGTGTCACCACATGGCATTCTGTTTTCTTCTTCTCATAGGACCCAAATACACATACAACGAAGGATCCTGCATTAGACTTGATGTCATGCGTGCTGTGGACCTTAAATACTGCCGTGGCAACAACAAGGTGTGAAAATCTTGCCTTTCTTGAACCAAGATGCTCGATAGCTGCTACACAAAACCGACCCCGAAATTGTTCTTCCCTGGCATCTCTTCCAAGAGTGTTGTTCTTGATGATTCAGATGCTGAAACAGATCAACTGGTGACCATATCTTTCAATTAAAGATCTTTAGCATGGATTAACTCTGGCTACGTTCTCATTACTATATGCTTTATCAGCTGTGAGCGCATCCAGAAAACAGCACTTTGATTGCATCTGTCCTACCTCTTCTGAGCCCTTCGAATCCTTTTAATGCCTGCTCTTAACATAGGGCAGATCCTTAGAGGTGGGCAAGTGTCAGTGTATGTACATTACAAATCAGGCACGAAGAGTTAACACCTTCCTTTCCCTTTTCATGATCTTGATTCATGTGGCATGAAAGGTAGAACGAAAGAGGAGCCACACAAGGAATTTGCCTTTTTTAGTGGAAGGGGAATCTATTAGCACACAGAGGAGAGATACAGACAGCAATTTGTTGTTGCTGATCATTTTCCTTTCTAGAATTACCCAAGTTCCTTTAATTCCTCCCCACACCATCAGCTCCCAGCATATGGACACATTGGCTTCACTCTGCTGGGCTGAGAGTTCTGGAGACCAAATACAGCAGGAACAGCCTCGCTCCGGATCTCCCAGCCTGTTCCACCCTCCAGCACTGCAGAAGATGACTGTAGGCCAGCAGGTGACATTTAATGTATAGCAGAGGGCCACAAAGTCATCTCCCAGGCTCTGATACCCACTGCTTTGGGGCTTTCAAAAGCCACAGCTGCACCCTGCATACACTCTTCTGCATTTTGTCCTATCAAAGCAGTGCAGTACTAAAGACAATAGACAATACTCAGTCAAAGGAAACCTTTACACATGATTAGGAGAAGGATAATATGACAACACAGCACAGGCTGAAGAGGGAAAAGTGCTCCATTTATCACTGCAGTCCAGACTCCAGGTATCATTAACCTCTTCCAAAGAAAGTCTTCAAGGAGGAACAGGATCAGTTAAGATACAACATCTTGCCTTGTAGATAAAGGGTCACCTTCTCCATGTTTACAACACTTTGAAAGGGGCAAGTCAGACACTGCAGGTCCAACAGTGCAGTAGGATTTACTTTGAAATCCCATAGGATTGGGTGAAATGTAGTCAGGAAATCAACCACTTCATCCTGCACAGCTCTGCTCCCTCCTGCTGGGCATCCGCGCTTATCCGTGGCCTGAAACCCAACTGCAGAAGATCCTGCTATTCATTTAAACCAAAAGTGCTTCATCAGTGCTGCTTATGTGCTCGTTGCTCAGAGTTAGATGCATGTTTCTACACCGTCATTGTTACCTTAGACTGAATTGCTTCACTGAGTAGAGGAGGGAAGGCTGCTGAAAAGTGTGTAGCTGTATCACACAAATCTGTGCATACAGCTCTAACTAAAAGGGACAACAGCTCATCTGGCTGCACCCCTTGCTCGTAAGCAGAGATTAAAAACCAAGACCTGGAAAACAACTGTGTGGCCTTCGTATATTATGGTGAAATCATTACCTACACCATATTTTCTCCCAATTTATTTAATCCATTACAAGCTCGATGTTTTCATCTGTGTCCTTAGCAGACTCCTGCTCTTCAGGAAGGAGTTACATCCATACACAGAGTAAAAAAGCTAGTGGAACAAGCTGACCACCAGAGGAATAAGGCGACACAGCTTTACATGTTGCAGCACAAGGAAGTGAAATCAAAGCAGATAAAAGTACGAGACAAGTGAATTCTTGACCCCTTGAAAACTTGGAGCAATCCAGGGAAGGAAAAAAGCTTCCTTGGCCACTGGGTGACAGCCTTGAGTTGAATGTTGTACAACTGAAACGTAAAGGCACCCGACTCACATCCGGAGAAGTCTTTTGTCCTACGCCGTGTAGATGAGGGTGCGTTACACAGTCTGAAGATACAGGCAGTGAGTTTAAGGACATGTCTCTACTGACAACAGGGAAATAATTCCTGTGCAGTGAGAATCTGTGACAGTGACATTGGGCAGTGCAGGCAGTTTGTTACAGCTCCATTATCCCTGCAGATGCTGTAACAGCTTCCCGAAGGACCATGAAAACTAGGGAACTAGGGTTGCTCCAAGCCCCGTCCAACCTGCCCTTGGCCTATTCACACACTGAGGGCATCAGTTAGAGCCTCTTAACTGCTGTGTGCAATCAACCCCTTACTGCTTGTCCCTCCCAGAACTGTTGGTCTTTCACCCAAAAGCTGTAGCATTCGGAATCCTTGTTTCCGGCATTTCTGGTGAGAGAGGGACAGACATTCCAGCACCCCCTCCTTGTCTCACATGAGCTTCCCAGGATGGAGCTGCTTTCCTCAGAAGGTTGGTGCTGCTATTACAAGATCCTAAACAAAAAGCCACATTCTGAGGATGGGCCTATGAGGAGGACTGGCCCTGAGGACAGCCCGAGTCACAGCACCGAGCGTGGCATTGCGCTGTGTCAGCAGCTCCCTCCATCCCAAGGGCTCTAGGCTTCATCGGATACCTCATTCCTCGGTTTTTCCCCAAGCTTTCCCGGGCCTTGGGTCAGCCTGAATCCACAGCTACACAGAGGATCTGATCTCCTCCTCTATCCCCCTCCTTTCTCTCTGAGAGCTTTAGCACAGTACAATGCTTAAATACATACACAAAACTATGCATCACCTCATGATTTCAGCAATTCAAGCTTTGTAAGTATGAGCGGGTTTGTTCTAGAACATCCATATGAAACCTTAAAATCCCCAAACCGACCCAAAACCATCAATCCCCAGCACACCCACACTGGCTACAGGAGCTCTCCCATATCCTGACAGAGACCTTTGGTCTGTGCTGCAATGAGATGTGTTACTACTCTCAGACTAAAAGACAAAGTGATTCTCACCCACACTCCCACCTCCCCTTGAGTTTAGCCCAAAATGCCCATCTACAAAAGGTTCTGCTAGAGGAGCTTTGATTTCCAAGGGATCCCCACTTTAGGCCTGATGGGGATTTGACAGCAGGTCTGAGGAGGTGCCATTTTTCCCTGTCTCTCTATTATCCATGGTAGAGGGGATGGAGCTGGTGTATTTGCTGAGCAGAGCCAGCTGTGTGACACATTTAACTCTCAGCAATGAAGACCACCTGAATGCCTGACTCAAATGCACTGTCAGAAACCTGACCTGGTCCCCCCACCTTTGAGCAACACCTGAAGCAGTTCCACTAATCAGCAGGTTCTACTTTGGAGGGCAGGTGGGTTGCGTGTGATACCCTGAGAGGATTTTAAGGGGAAGGCCAGGAATCACTGCTCTTAGGCTCTCTAGTTTAGCTCTTATTGGTACAGGGACTGCTCTGACTGGGAGATGCTCTTGCTTTTGAGGTGTCCTGCTCAGGCTCTAGAGCTTGTGGTGCTGTTTGTGGAAGGAGGCAGAGAATGCAAGTGTAGCTGAACCTGTTTTGCAACAGGTTTCCTTGGAAGAGGGAGGGTTTAGGCTGAAATGAGTTTGCTACAGATGGGAAGAGGGAGAAGCCCTTCCCTGTGAGGGTGCTGAGGTGCTGGCACAGGGTGCCCAGAGAAGCTGTGGCTGCCCCATCCCTGGCAGTGTTCAAGGGCAGGTTGGACACAGGGGCTTGGAGCAACCTGCTCTAGTGGAAGGTGTCCCTGCCCGGGGCAGGGGTTGGAGCTGGATGAGCTTTAAGCTCCCTTCCAACCCACTCTGTGGTTCTATGACTCTAAACCTGTTTCATAGGTGCAGACATTGATATTTCTTAGGACTGAGAAAGAACACAAGGGGTGAAACCTGGCTTGTGGCTTTAACTCAAGGTTTTTAAAGGGCTTTAAGCTCAGATGTTGCCTACGTGGGAAACAAAGCTGCCTCCACACACCTCTGCGTGACCGCCGCTACGTTCGTCCCTAAAGCTGCTCGGTGTTTGGTGCGCTCGGGATGCTTAAAGCCGGAGACCCCGCTGAGCCCGAGGTCTCACCACGAGGTGGCATTCTCAGAGCTCTTTTTTCCTCCTAAAACTAAACCTCCCCATCCCTCCTAAGAACAACAATAACCAAGGCGGTGGGGGGGGAAACACCCTCAAACCCTGCCTGTGTTGCCCGGAGCGTGTGACAAAGCCGGGTTCGCCAGGAGGCTGCTGCTCCTCTTGCGCAGCGCTGGTGCCGCTCTGAGCGCTGCGAGCCAGGCTCCAGTCCCTTTAAGTAAAAAAGCGAGATGCATTATTGTGCATCTTGAAACCTGAGACCCAGGACCAGGAGTGCGAGGGGGAACAACGGGAAAACCTCGCCATTCCCGAGGACAACTGCCGCGAGTGGAGCTTTAAGGGATAAAAGACACTTTAGAAGGTCGTTGAATGGCTTTTGTGGAGAGACCTGTGAAATAAAGGAGCCCTGGAAGAAGAGAGTTCTTTTTCTCCTCCTCTCTGGATACAATGGCCATTGCAAAGCAAAGCATCTTGAGATTTGGCTTCAAATGGCTCTTCCTTGCAGCTTTTATGCTAGCCTGTGATGGACAAGGTGGAAAGAGAGAGAACGGGGGTCCTGCCTGTTACGGGGGATTTGATTTGTATTTCATTCTAGACAAGTAAGTGAGTTCTACTTTGTTTTCAAAGAGATCTTTCTGCATGCACCAGGATGGCATATACCGATCCCGAGGATCTTTTCCTTGGTTTTGGGCTTGTGGAAGTCACTGTGTCCCCGAGGGACCTGCCAGACTCCGAACTTGCTGCTCTGGCTTTGGTTTTGTTGCAGTAACTGATTTGGTAGGTCTGGTCTATAATCCATCCCATTGCGCTCTGTAAATCGGACTGTTTTCAGTGCTGCTGTGGCTGAGATAAAAGCTTTGTTGTGTGCTTGAAAGAGCGGGTGGGAGAAGGGCAGCTCCCTGGTCCTCTCTGCTTTCCCGATGGCCGGAGGAGGTTGAGGCGCTCCTGGAAGTGGGGGCTATTGTTGCAGGCGTTTGTCCTGCCTGGAGGTCTGATCCTGCTCCACTTGCTCCCGAGCTCCATACACCTCCCTACCGTCTAAAGCAGCAACCTTCAGGTAACACCTGGCACTGAGAGGTGGCTACTTGTCTTTGAAAGGGTCTGATTTTGGCCCCTGTGATGGAAAACAGCCCTATTTAAAGAGACCTTTATTTTCTCTGCTGAGTCACATTCTCTTTGTTTCCTGCTAATCAAATGCATATTTTGACTGTTAAAACAGTTTAACTCCTTATACTGAAAATAACTTCCTACCTCACTTTTTTCACCACCAATTGTGATGGCACCATCTTCTTGGCACTGGTAAGTTTGCCTCTTTACAGGCCTTCACACTGTAGATGGAGCAATGTGGAATAGAAATGTGCTGAGCTTTGGAAAGCCAATACAACAATGGACGAAAAAGGAATAAGCCAGTACTAGCTACAGTGATTCTCCTCACTTTCTGGATTAAGAGTTGTTATTTATCACCAGAGGATTGGGAATACTGGAGAACACTCATGCCAGAGCCATGGTACTGACATTATTAACCATGAATTTCAGACACAGGAAAGTAGTTGCAAGCTGCCAAAGCACTCGGGCTGATCCTCTGGAGTGTTTTTCAGCAGCTCCCACATTCCCTTATATAAATGACTTGGAATTCCATAACACTTTGTTACAAAATACTGGGTAAAAAGTCAGACCGAGACAGTGGTGGTTGTCGTGTACCACTTGTACTGATGCTTTTGAGTTTTAGTACTTTATTCAGTGGCAAGTTCTAACTGCCTGATGTATCGTGTTGCTTTGGCTGCTCAGCCATTAGTTGGAATACTCCTATTGCTCCACATCAACAAACAAAGCCAAGGAATGGCTTGTCCTTCAACTGCTTTTCCTGGAGTTGAAGCAGGGTTGAAGGTTTTCTCCCATCTGATGGATGTCTGTGTTACACCTTGGAGCTAATGCAATTTTACCAGGAACTCATTTCAAGTTCTGGGCTGTCCTCTTGAGAAAAGTCATGACTTTCTAGCCTTGCTTAGGGGGTTATTTGGGTGGAAATGTGAGACTTGGCACAACCTTTAAAGCAGGCAGGCTTACCCCAGTGTGTGCATCCAGGTATCCAGCAAAAAATCCCACTTCGGGAGTTGCAGGATTCCCATTTCTGGGATTTTTCTAGTGCAGAAATGATCAGGGTCTGATGTAAAAGTTTCCTTGGTCTCTAATGGAATTTGGAGGAGAGTTACAGTGTTTAAGCAGCTCCTGAGAACAATATGCCACGGAGCTGGTTGTTCAGCCTTTGAGGAGGCTGATGGGGACTTACTGTGGTGGAATAGGTTATCCCATGTCCTTTATCTTGAAGACTTTCTGTCATTCCTCAAGGCTCAGCTGAAGTTCTAGACAACTTGAGTGTTCTTTAGTCTGGGTTTTCCACCTTCCAGTTGTCTAGAGGCTGTTTTCATAAGTGCTGCTCAAGTCCTGCATGCAGAGAGGTGATGGCTATAGAGGCCTTAAGGCAAACTATGAAATGATAATAACAGGTTCAGGGCTCTCTGCTTTTCTTTGAAATAGCTCTAAAAGTGACTCAAAATGATTAAAAGTGATAGAGGACACTGGAGCAGAAGAGATTTAGATTCTCAAACATGAAATGTGAATCTCAGTGGTGGAAGAAAGCCATTTAAAGCATTGAGCAACCTACTTGCTGGGATTAAAGGAGTAATAAAAACAACAAACACAGCCCTGGAAGCCACCAGTGCTGGAGCCCTCCACTGACTCTTTTGCCTCATGGATTTAGTGACTTCTCAAGTTCATTTAGTGCCCTGTGCATGTGCTGCTGTAGGACGTGTTCCAGCTGCTGCGCTGGGCTCGGTCCCTGTTGCGGCACTGGCTCTTGAAGCACATCTGGCTGCAAGAAGCATCTTCAATGTGAATGTCTAATGCACGGGGGAAGGGACATGTGTTATGGGCTGTTCTCCTCCAGTGATGCTCTAACTTCCTGCAATGTTCTCCTTAAGAGACTCCTGCAAACTTGCTGTCCAAGCAAACTGGGTTTTCCCCCAGCTGTCTGCAGGCAGCTGGAGACGTGACTCCCTGCTCAGGGGACCTGAAACCAATCTCCCATTTCTCATGGTCATGAAGGAGAAGAAAATCCAGGATTCAGCTGTTCAGGAATAATCCCGTTAAGCTCTGCAGCCTGTGTGGCTGTGACAAACACCAGCCAAGCTTGAAAGATGCCAGACAGGCTTGTTAGGGGACAGTAGCCTCCTGTGTGCACTTGAATGTCTATTACCACTTCCAAGAGTTCTCACCCAGCCTTGGAGGAAGCTATGGTTTGCCATCTCTCTTGAGAACTGCTGCTTGACATGCAGTGAACTGAAAAGGGTAGAAATAGCACTACTCACACAACCCCCTATGAAATGCTGAGCTGCCTGACTTAATGTGGTTTAAGACCGGATGAATCCATTTCTCTTGTGCTTCGACTGTAGAAAAAGCAAAGGGAGGTAGGGCTACAGCTCAGTTGAATGCTACTTGGAGTGCAGCTGTGTGCTATTGAGGTTACACATGGGATCTAGTCCCACAGGGTGCTGAGCTTCTCACAGTGGAGGCTGTACCAAGATGCTGTGGAAGGTGAGACTGGCTTGTGTTGGGAGACTTGCTGAGAGCTGGTTCTAGATGGCACAGCCACAGCCTTTTGTGTTCCTGTGCTGCTGAGGGACTTCACAGACTGAGGCTCCCATAGACTGATGGTAGCAAACCATGTGGCAGAAGATGATGCCATGGAACCTGCAGCCTGGATGCAAGATAAGATATGGGGCCTTTGTGGGCAAGGAAGCAGCTGATAAAAGCACAAACATTTGGGGTTTGCTGATGCTGATAGTGTAAAAAGATCATCCCTGCAAGTGGATCTTCACTGCATGAAGACAATGACCCAGACCTGGGTGCCACCGTGTCCAGTCCTGTCATATGTAACCTGCCATGTCCTCAGCTGGAACATTTAGAGGCAGGTCCCAGATGAATTTAGGTGCAGGGAGGGAGGTAGGAATCGCAATGAGGATGTGTTCTCAGTAAGCTGTGGCTGTATCACTGTATGTCAGAGGTGTTCCTTCCTGTGCTCTTGCCTCTTGTGTGCAAAGAGTGGGCATTTATACTCATGTGCAGAGAACTGGCAGGGAACTGTATGTGTGTGAAAGAAAACTTGGCTCTGGAAGATCCTTGGCAACATGGAGTAATCCAAGCTGCTTCCTGTAATCCCTTCACTACCCAGCCAGACAGCTGATCTGGTTTTAACCACTGGTATTGAAGTGAAACTCCTGTTCTAGGGGGGTTTAATGGTTGGGGTTTGGGTCTAGCTCGAATAGCTGGAGTTACCAGGCCTTAAAGTGGGACTAAGTCCAGATTTACACTCAGTGTAGGAGACCATGGTGGGATGGAGAGTAGACAGACATGGCATCACCACACGTGGAGGCTGACCTGTGTGAACTGCTCCTGGTAGCAGTGACTTATCCCATGGGAAATGTGAGCCGTCCACAGAGCTAACTCCAGGACCCTTCCAGAGCAGAGTAACATTCCAGCTACTCCAACCTGAAGAAATACAAGCCTTTAGTGAGTAATGTGTCTGCAGAAATAGATTCAAACTCATCTCTGATCTTCACTGACCTGCTCAGTGATTCCTTGACTCTTTCTCTGGAACCACAACCCAATTCCAGAGCAACATATGCATTGTGTTTGGGTGGTGGGAATTGCCAGCATAGGGAGGCTTGGGTTTCCTTTTGTTCAGGCTGAGGGCTCAGGGTGCTAACAGGGCAGGGTGGAGAAGTTTGCTCATTCTTGTGTTTCTTTGCTTGTTGCCTGAAGGAGTGGAATTAACTCCCGATGCTGTGGGCAGCAATTGCAATGAGCTGAGAAATCTGTGCCTGTCAGGACCTGTGCACAAGATTTTAGCCAGTGATGAATCTAAGGTGAACTATTCCTTGGTAAAGGGATGGGCTGGAGCTACCTTCCACCCAGGGCCAAGTGTATGCCTGTAGCACTCTGCACTGTATGTACTGCTTGAGATGTAAATCCACTCATTGCTACTTGTTTATTAGTTGTGGGTTTATGTGCCCACTGCCAGTCAGTAAGAGAAGGCAGTTCTAGGGCTGCAGTCGGGCTTAGAGGCTTATCCAGCTCTGAACTGCACCTCCAGACCCAGTTTGACAGCAGCCCTGGTGAGCTGTGGAGTGTGGCACAGGACAGTGCTGTTGCCTCAAAGAACTGCATCACCTTTCGACCATCTCTGTGTTATTTAGTGTCTCCACATTGCTCCTCAAGTGTTTGGGAAGACAAAGGACACTTCTTGCCTCATTTGTGTTCTTTTTAAAGAGCTCGATAAAGAGATGCCGCAAAACTTCTTGGGTCAATGCCAGCTCTGAGCTCTGAGGCTTCTTGAAGTTAGTCCAAAACCATGCAAGTGTAAGAAGAACTTGGATCAACATCTGAATTGGGTGTCTTTATGTATCTCTGTCAGCTGCAGGGCACACAACTGGTGTGAAGTCTTTGTAGAAGAGCTGTGGGCTTGATTCTCTTCTAGTTTGTGAATTAAATAAAAGCGTAGGGACTCTGAGAATTAAATGAAATCACTCTGAGAAGGTGCAATGAGAGGGATGGGAATAAACAGTCTAAAAAGTGTAAGACACTGTAAGCTTTGGTTATGGTGCATCTTGTCACTGTGAGCAGGAGAAAAGCACTTGCAGGAGGGCAGGGTTTAGCCAGAGTCTGGAACCACGGAGCCCTGTGGAGCATCCTCCTCAGCCTTGCATTGAGTTGAGATGTGCAAAATGCCAGCACAGTTGACCACAGAATGTCTCATTCTCTTGTCAAAGCCATAATGGTTTACTTAGTCTTAATTTCCATTTATTGGGCTTTTCTCCAGCAAGAGAATTTGGCATCTTCCCGATGAGCCTCTTCTTACATTGCAAGTTTCTAGCATCAAGCATTCAGCTGCAAAGCGCTGGCTCACTGATCATCGTGTTTCTCTCTGGGAATATGAAGAGATAATGATTTTAAATTTGGCTTTTATTATCTTAGAGTTAGGCTGTAGAAATACTTGTCCCACCCTGAGTTCTTGGCCTGCCTTAAGAGAGGCTTTACAAGTGACAAGGGTCTTCTATTGCAGGGCTTCTGAGTAACACAGTGAGTAACGGAGCCAACGATGCTTTTGTAAACTCTCTACTGACTGCAGGAAGATTAATTCTATTGCTTTTGAGCATTTTAGGTCAAGTAAAGACTCTAGAAAGCCTGAAGTGTGATTCAGAAGATGGTTTATGTATTGCAGGAGTAATTCTTTCTAAATGCAGACCTGGGCATTTATAGCCATACACTTGGGCTTGACTAGATGGAGAAATAAGCTGCAAATAGACTACAGGTTACAGATGGAAACCTGGCTGTGCTAGTAGGAGTTATGGTCAGCAAAGTGTGAACCTTCATTCTGGGCCCCTATAGCTTGTTCTGGTAGAGGTGAGGAGCAAATGGGTTGTAGACTATTCCGATTGTCCCACTTCAGTGCTTTTGGAACCTAAAGCAGAAACCATCCTCCTTTTGTGGGGCAGAGAGGGTTTGTTTTGGTGATTGTAGCAAAGGTAAGAAAAGTCCCTAAAATAGGTGCTCACCATTCTTGAACTTCAGGTTGTTCCCTTTGTGTGTCAACAGACATGTGGGAAGGTTCCATGGAAAAAGAGCTGTAACTTCAGACAGGGCGAGTTTTGTTGCAGGGGACATAAGGATGAGACTGTTGGTGGGAGACCAAGGTGAGGGTGCTGGAGGGGAAGGAGGTGCAGCAGGAGCTGAAGCTTAGTGTGTGAAGAACTAAAAGCACTTCTTACCCAACAGTTGAAGCCCACCTGAGCAACAGTTGCAGGGACAAACAGAGGAGGAGGACGTGCTATTGACGTGTTGACTGGCACAGCCCTGAACTGAGCTCCCAGGAGCTTTATTCTGGCAAATGCTGTGTTTTGACTTCCCAGAGCCGTGGAAAATGCCAGGGCTTTATGTGACAACCCACATACTTGCTGTGCTCTGTGCCTGACTCTCATTCCAGCTGCCCTGCTGCAATAGTCATTCCATGTGATGGCCAATGTCAGTTCAGAGGGGAAGAAATAACCATCCTTTCAAAGGCTGATGGAGCCTCTAGGACACTGTCCTGTTGCAAGCGGGGGTCAGCTACAGCTTCTGTGTTTGCAGGGGCTGAAAGCTGAGTTTCCCCATAACATGAAGTGTATGTGGTTGTCCTACCTGCTGGCTGGGAGAAGGGCGGTTTGGGTGTACTTGTGAAAGGGTCTCAGTTCCACATGTCTGCTACCAGATGGTTCAGAAGGTATGTGAAACTTCAATGGGGTGTCCTTTTTTGAGAGGTGGATATATGGTCCAAAGCAACATACATTGCACTGGAGGAGGTGGTAAGTGGTTTATGGTTAGCAAAGCCTTGGCTTCATGTGTCTTCTGGAGACTGATATAACTGTTGCTATAAAGTCATAGAATCATAGAACAGTTTGGGTTGGAAGGGACCTTCAAAGCTCATCCAGTGCAACCCCCCTGCTATAAGCAGGGACATCTTCATCTAGACCAGGTTGCCCAGAGCCACATCTAGCCTGGCCTTGAATGTCTCCAGGGATGGGGCATCCACCGCCTCTGTGGGCAACCTGTGCCAGTGTTTTACCACCCTCATTGTAAAGAGTTTCTTCATCACATCCAGCCTGAACCTCCCTCTTTTAGTTTCAAACCATCACCCCTCCTCCTATCGCAACAGGCCCTGCTGAAGGTCTCTCCCCATCTTTCTTATAGACCCTTTTAGGTACTGAAAGGCCACAATAAGTCAAGTGTTTCTTTTATGCCTTGCCATATAATGACCATAAATACTTCCCAGGTCAGTTCTCAGAACCATTTGGGCAATGTAGAATCGGTGGGACTGGGGTGCCTGTCATATCCAAGGCCTCAGAGTTATTCCATGCATCTGAGAGGGGTTTGCAGCTGGGATTGAGCTTTGTGTGTCTCTGATCTATCAGGTTGGATGCGGTGGGAGTTAGTTTCTTGTTTGAGAGCAAGTCCTGACATATTTCACCTTTCATCTTTTATAAGACCCCAGTTTTCCCCCTCTCTGTGTGGTTTAATCAGCTTATTAAGGCCCTTGCTTAGTGTTTCTTTGATCCTCTCTGATACACGTTTGCGTGGACAACAAGTAATGATTTCAGGTCCTGGTCTGATGAAAGGGAGGAGAGCCAAGAAGCAATCTAGCACTGTTAACAAGGTCTCCTCTGCAATCTGTCCCTTACAGTGACGGGCAACACAGGGGTGCCTCTGAGGTTAAAGAGATGCATTTAGCATCTCTGTGCAATGAGAGTTGGAGAGTTCGCTGTTCTCCCAGCTGGACCATGTGCTTTTGTACCTGTACAAGGTACCTGCACATCATTGGAGGGTGTCTTTGGACACATTTGGGCCATATAGAGAAAGAATAGCTCAAGGTACCATGGAACAAGAGGGTAAGGCTGAGGTTTCAGCTGCAGGGCAAGAACATCTCAAATGCTGCTCTCTTCTTCCTCAAGCTGCAGTTCAATGGGGTTTCTGTCAGAGCTGGGATGGTTATTTCCCTATAAATGTTTTTAATTGTAGCCAATGAATTAAATAAGTGATGACACGTTTATTTCCCAGCTCTAGGAAGGAATTTTTTTCCTAATATTAATATTTCAGTGTCCACATAAGTGTTGATGCCAGAAGGGGCATTTAGTGCTGAAAGATTCTGATTAACCTAATTTTCTCCTGGTTCTTACAACATAAAGAACAATCCCATTGTGGTCCATGGTTTGTTCTCCTGAACAGTTTGGTTTGCCTTTAACTGAGGGGTGCAAGGATTACCAAGAGCAGTTAGGATGTGGCTGAAGGTGTTTCCCTTTTCCTGGTCTCCAGCATAGTGGAAGCACCAGAGAAGCTTCATAACCTGTTTCTCCGACTGCATTTGAGTCTCTAAATACACTTGAGCTAAAAGCTGTGTGTAATGGTGTGAGTTGGTGGAATTAATCTAAACCACAGTGCAGGGAGACAGGTCCTCACTCACACAGGGTTCATTAGCTTAAGGTTGTGCTAAAGGTCTGTGCAACTGCTGCGTGTTATTGTCAAGTGTAGCCCCAAACACTTGCACCAGGTGGGAATTCTGCTTTCCAAAGCTAAATCTGAAATGTCATTGCCAGTATAATATCTCTGTAAAGGCACAATATGGACAGTGTTAAACAAGAGAACAACTGACTCGCTGAGCACTGTGCAAGGAAGCATCAGGCTGGGACACGACAGTAGCTGTTACGCTGATATCTTCCTGTCCTGCTTGTTTCCCCAGGTCAGGAAGTGTCCTGCACCACTGGAATGAAATCTATCACTTTGTGGAGCACTTGGCCCGCAAGTTCATCAGGTAAGAAGTGGGGACACGCTCCGGGGGGATGGAATCCTCTTGGCTGAGTGCAGCAGCCTGGGTCTGCAAGGACAGGCGCGAGGCTGTAGCTTTCAGGCACCGAATGAGTTGAGACGAGAAACCCAGTGGGTGGGATGTGTAGTGATAAACACCATCAGCCTGCCTTTGTCTCCATGGCGATCCCAGGATGTGCTGAAGCTTTTCTTGCTTCAGCAAGCATGATGCAAGTGCTATTTACATCTTCCTGATGGTTTGTCTTCACTAGGAAGGCCCAGGGCAAAGCATCTCAGTCCTGTCTTTCCCTCTGTTGAGTGAATCTAGACAGCACTCAGAGCATCCTTTGTGTTTGGTGTTAAGCTCTGGACCTCTAAAATAACTCTCTTTTTCCTCTCCTTCTCCAGCCCCCAGCTGAGGATGTCCTTCATTGTGTTTTCAACTAGAGGGACCATTCTAATGAGGTTAACAGAAGACAGGTAAGAAGAGGCTTAAGGTGCACAGCCTTTTCTGTCCTTGTTGTAGCTTCTTTCACTTCCCTTGCTCAATGATTTCCAGGGCTGTGAAGCAGCGTGGGGACTCCCTTCCTATAAAAACAAACCGAAAGCTGTAGGTGATACCCATGTTCTTGAGGTAGAGGTGATATGTTACAGACAACAGTGTTCAGGCTGGATTGCAAGGGTGTGTAGTTTTGGCAGTGACTGTTTGATTGCCATAGTTCTGAAGCTCAGAATCCCCAAGTTAATCCCAGTAAAACCTATGGGATGGGGTTTCTTTTTTCTCTGACTTCAAGGAGAGCTGCATGAGCTCCTTTAATCACTTCTGCTTCCTCTGCTAACTTCATTGCCACGTGGAGCAAGATTATATGGAACGCATGTGAAGACTCTCTAAGCCAGCATGTGTTTTACATATTGGATGTCTAGGAAATGGCATACCAGAGCAGCTGCTATAGAGGAATGAAGGGGGAGCTGGCAGCTTTCCTAAAGAGCAGTCCACATACATACCAGCCTTGACTATGTCATTAAAGCCAGCCAGCCCAAGCAGCTCCTGCCACTTACTGCAACTCAAAGTGTAAAGAGAATGACCCTCTTCTAGCTTGGAGCCAAAGGAAAACCTGTTCTCTGCTTCTTCCTGCCCAGTGCAAGGATCTCTGGTCTGTTCAGGCTGTAAGTGATGACACTGAAGTGCTTCCCATGTGGAAATGTATTTCATATTCATCCAGCTGCCCTAGGAATGTTGATGGGAACAGGATATTGGTATGGTATTAGCCTAAAAGCAATTGGCTGGAGAGCTGCTGGGTTTTACTGGAGGGCTGACAAACAAGGTGTGGGCTTCATGCTGGTCCTTCAGTTAAGGTCTACTACCTTGGCCACCCCTCCATGTGATGTATCAGCATCTGAATGTGGAGACTGAGGGTGCTTAGCATCCCGTGGGAAAAACTCAGTGCATCTCATGGGACTCAGTGATGTATTTTAAAGACCTTTGCTGTGTGTTTTGAAGAAGGGTTCTGATCACAAGAAGTGCTCTGGATCCTATATTCAGCTTTGGCTGGGTAGCTGAATAGAGGAAATATTGCCCCTATCCCCCTTTAACATACAGCTCAGGATCTGACTAGTTTGGGATATCACAGGTACAGAATGAGCTCCTAATAGTCTGATAATTCAACCTATTGCAGAAGCAGATACTCTTTGTTCTGTGGGAGCTGCTCCTCTGTAGAGTGGATAATGTCAATGTGCTGCTGGAATCAGCCTCACAAACAGGAGACTGAGGATGTGAGCACACAGACTGGATTTGCTGAAGTAAATTCAGGGACAAAACTGGCTTCTGGCACTCTGTGTTGCAGTATCAGTGGTGCTGTAAGCACTGACTTAACCCACTGCCCATGAAGCTTGTATAGTTTGCTCAGATACACCCCTTTATCTTGGTGTTAAACGCTTGTGGCCTGTTCTTGGCTTCAGAGGTTAATGTCTGCAACAGAGTGGACCAGCAAAAGGGTGCCCACCACATGGAGCCTGTCACTATCCTGGGATTTCTAAAGAAATAAAACATATCCTGGATCATAAGCTATTAGGAAAGGCTTTAATTCTTCACCTTGGTGTGAGCAGGAGCTGAAGGGGTTATGTTCAAATAAACCAGAGTTGGAGGCTGGTTTGAGATTGTGCCTTTTTTGGCTGTTTGGTGGCATTTGTATGGTCAGGAAGGGTGAGGAAAGGGAGCCATGTGCAAGCCAGCTGCTCTGCTGCTTGAGCAGGGTGGCACAGGGAATACTGGTAAGGATTGTATGGAATCTCACCTCGGGGATGCTGCTGTTGCGATGCTGTGGGAACACTGGCAGCACCACTGCTGTTTTCCACCTCCTTAGGAAAGCATCTGCTGAGACATTACCTTAGCCTGGATAAACATGGAGCTAACTCCTTTTTCCCCCTCTCTATGTGGTTCTGCCATGCGTGCCTCCTGCAGCTGGATCCCAGCTCCTGACATATGTAATCTGCCTTCATTCCAGGGAACAGATCCGCCAGGGGCTGGAAGAGCTGCAGAAAGTCCTTCCAGGAGGTGACACGTACATGCATGAAGGCTTTGAAAGGGTAACTAGATGCATGCCCAGTGCCTCTGAACTGTGTTTGGGTGCTCCTTGGGATGTGATTAATGGTTCTCTGGGAGGGGAGTGGGGCTGTTCCTCTTTCAGAGGTACAATAGGTACACTGAAGTGCTGGCATTCAGCGATGGAGCTGGCACAAGGGACCTGCAAACCCTACTTAGCAGCTTCTTTTGCCTTCAGCCTTTATGGGGAAGCTGCCTTTTCAGAAGGCTTTGACATTGCAGTCCCACACAGAACCGTGGTCAGGAGAAATGGAAAGCTGCCTAGAGTCCTGCATGGGGGCTGTAGTAGGCTTGATAGAGCTGGGTGAGGGCTGAGGCCACGGCTCTAACCTGGTGGCCAGGTAATGCTGCACAGAAGTGACTGCTTGTTCTTATCTTTTCCTTCAGTGTATTTAACAAGCTCAGAGGTTCTCTAAACCTGAGCTCCTGACCCCCATCTCCCACTCCTGTACGTATGGGAGGACTGGGGAGCTGTCTGCCCACTGGAAATGCATATGAGGACACAACAGAAAGCCAATTGACCTGACAGAGATGCTGGCTCTTAACCAGGAGTCCAAAACCCAACCCCAGAGCTTGGTGACTCCAGAAACTTTACAGGAGAATTCCAAAAAAGAAGAGATTTAAATTCTGAACAGTAACGAAATTCCTAAGCCAG